CGACTGGGCTAAACAACCTGCCAGGCAAGTGTTAAACATTATTAGAAATATTATTATGATTGAAAGGAGTGGGTCAATCATTTGATGTATTTAAAACGATTATTGGGGCTAGCTATAGAACGGAGTATTTTGATTACTGTACTGCTTTGGATTGATAGAAAGCAGGTATTAGATTGAATTTCTTACATAACATTTATGTAAATTATAAAATTGTACCATCCCGGGTCCTACAAGGGGTCCGAGTTAGGACAGGCCTACTCTAAACTTTAAAAGGTAGGCATGGACGGGTATATGACGGAATGGGCTCGCGGGGACTGGGCACAGGCCTTACCTTAGACAGGGACTAACGAGAAATTTCATTTCTCCTATTTAAGTGTGTAGCTTACTGATAAACGTTTCCTCCATGGTTTAAACATTTCAATTGTTATAATTATAGTTAATTATACTGTTATGCAAAAACGCATATTGCATTTCCATAAAAATGGTCACAGAAACTGTTTCATCAATCATTTTAGAGTTCGTTTTTGTTTTAAAAGGCCAATATTTTAAAAACTAATACTCGTAAATGTACGGAACCAAAACAACACGTAGGAAATTAGTAAAATATAACCGACTACACACTCTTTGTGTAACGTTTATAATTGGATTCGTAAAAATCAAACAAATCCGATTGAGATTAACTAATTAATTAATTTTCTCCAATTAGAGACGGAAAGAAATTACATTGAGTGACATTTTAAGTATTATAATATTTTAAAAATTAATTATTTGCTGAGTTTAAATTTAACAAAACTATAAATGTCCGACATTTCTGTGTTGTCTAATTTATATTTTACATCTTTATGGTCCAATAAATTGCAATCATCTTTTTCGTTGTTGTAGACAAACTTGAGGAATTTAAAAGTATTCTGTTAGCCGTTTCAGAAGCATGTCTTATTTTAGTTTTACATAGATTAGGGACGCTAATTATTGTACACATGTGCATTATGCATATAAGGGTAAGTTTACTTAAACTCCCTGTAGAATGGACCTTCTGGGAGTGAAGTACAAGCAATACCATTAAAATCCCATGTTCTTATTTGTATAAGACGAGATTCTCATTACTATTATGACTGGCAAAATCGTGGACAAATCTATCTAGCGTGCATCATGTGCCACGGTGAGGACTTTTTTGCCTTGTGCCCAAACGGAATGTGGCTGACAGATTCATTAATTTATACTAATTCAAGATTATTTCGAGATCATGTTTAGTATTCTTAAGTGTAATCTGCATGGTGACTTCGTGATAAAAACCGGCTTACCATAGCCGAAGAAACGTTGTAGGAAACTGGAAACTTTATTAGCAAACAGATATAGTTTATTCAGTAGCAGGAAAATCTATATTATAGCACTTATAACTTGGATACGATGTTGTATGGTATTTAGGTAACCGCAGTTGGAGTGCATAATATAGTACATAGCGCTTCAATTGAAAGCTCTGCAATGTCGGGAATCGTTCGAAATAATCGGATAGACCACGCGTGTGCCTTTTCAAGTATAATCTAACATGTATAATTAAACACCGATTGAATATTTGCATAAAATAGTTTAATAATACAACAAACCCTGACGTTACAACACTGCAGTATGTTTTGGTTGTGGAAAATAATTTTATCGACATACAGATATTAAAATGCGCATCTTCATTAGCTTCTAAGGTGATCATAATAAATATTGTTTTGTATCTTCCGTAACAAGTGCTTGTTAAACGAGTTTTAACCTAATTGGGAACCGTTTTATAAAATCATTAGCTTGTACAATTTTGATATCATTGGTATTTCGTGGATTAAATTGTATTGTAGATTAAGCTATTAGGATAGTAAACTCTGAGTACATATACCAATTTGAACCACATAGCCTACTCACTATTACTTCAAAGCTTTGGGAAAGCTCTATTATTCATTCTTAAAATTTAATTGCACTAGGCTTAGACCAGATTATGGATACGGCCTCTTAACTTTTTAATGGGTTACACAAAAAACTTAACTTTGCACACCTTTATATAGTATACAAGTGCACTTTTTGGTCAGCATATTAGTTTTTTCCAGGATCTCAAAATGTGGAAATTTGAGGGAAGTTTAAAAATGGTTACTGTGAAGCCTCGTTGAAGCCCCCTACCTCATTTTAAAGATCCAAAATGAGGAAAATAAGGAAAAAGCAGAGACCTGTATGTCAATTTCAGTACAAAATGGCCGTAATTTTCCATCATGCTGAGAGTACCCACGTGAATGTATTTTGATATATTTTCAAAACACAAATTTTTGTCATGTCGTACTACAATAAGATAGTTTTAACCTCTAGTTTCCCTTATAACCTTCTTTTAAGAAGAACTTTAAAATTAGGTGAATTCTGATGGAGTTTTACTTTAAAAATATCTAAGCTGCCCGGATAAAATCTTCATACAAAAAAGTACATTTTACTATATACTGGTATAAACAGTTTAAATTTCCTGTTGTGACCCTGGAAAGCTAAGAAGGAAGTACCCAAATACTTGAATATAGCCAAACTCTCTCAACGGTTTTGGATAGTATACTTAGGCATTTAATTATACCATTATTATACAATGTTGGCTATGGATTTTAATTTTAACACGGGTTTTGTATTTAGATCAGGTTTGCTTGCATGTAATAGCACATGATTTTAATACTGGTAACATGTTCCCACCATGTGATAATGAACTCGGTAGTTCAAAATCTTAATAATCTTAAGATCTGTTGATCGATGTACTTATACTGTTAACACGTACATTTTCATTCAAAATAACAAAAACTTTCAGCTAGAATTTAGAATTATGTACTAAACAACTTTAAGTTCATTAAGATCGAGTAATGAATTGCGGAGGAATCTAGATTTTTCGTTGTACAGGTCAAGAAAAATGAGGCCAAGCTGTAGGTAGGGTGTGCCTCATTTTGCGCTTAAAAATAGTTATTTTTCTGCTAATTATTATTCGATTTTTCTGAAATTAATTTTGTTCGGAAATAAATGCTAAATAAAAGTGTTCTTAGCATTTTAATCAGCCATTTGTTAGATGTGTTGGCACTAAGGTGCGCAGACGATGCCTGTGTCAAGCAGGGTATGAGACCAGCTTTGTTACTATGCCGGGGAGGTACCGTGTTGCAGGGTAGACCGCAACGTACCTCGGTCTAACTGCCAGCCCACACGCCAATCGCGCCCCGAGTCCGACTTTTTTTATCGATTTATGCAGATTTTTCGCGCCAACTCGTCATTCGCATGTGGAGAAAATTGTGTCTGGCTCCAGAGAGATTGATTGTAATAATTCACTGTTTGCTGTAACAAATCCGAAATATAGGTTATGTCCTCCATTCTAACCTGATATGCACGATATGTTCGATTTTTACTGAAACCACTTAAGTTTTCGTTTTTGTATACTAATTTTGGGTATTGAATAAGCTTTAGTATTTCACAGAACATCAACATAATTAAGATATAATCAATGATGTTGTTAAGTACATCGAAAGTGTATTAGCTTTTTTCACAACAATTGGTATTGAAAACACCTTATTGCTTTATTGATCAAAGGTGATCAATAGATATGATAAAAGAAAACAACGGTGTATATTCTCGTTAGCGATTATACCGACACTTGCCCACCCATGCGGTGGCATAGTCGAGCAATAATTTAAATTAGAGAAATTATAGTACAAAATTAAATATAAACTATAATATCCTTAGTTTTTTAGCAGTGATTTAAATTATTCTTCACTCGATAATATGAATACTACCTTGTGCAACTACAACTTATTCGTTGTAGGTTCAAAGATTGTCCTAGGAACAGATATAGCAACAAAGTTAGAACATAACTCAATTCGCAGTTCAAGTGGAAATACTCGTCTCAATTTAAGTACCATAATAAATCCAATAACGTTATATTTTAACCAGGAAAGTTTAAGTGCATGGCGAAAATGTATTATAGCGTTTATTTAGCTGGAAGTAGTCCACAAATATACCACTGTAATAACCATTTAAGCACTTAGTTAAACTTAAAATGAAATCCACATGGCGCTGAGTGTGATAATGTTTATTTAATTGTTCTAACAATTTCCAGATCTCATTATGACAATTAAGAGGCGTGTTGCTACAAATAAACTTGTACATCAATTGTTCCGCGAAATCTGTATTATGATATCTAATCAAAAATGATTATTTCAGTATTCAATTAACACGAGGATTCGGTTGAATCTAAATAGTAAGTATATATTTAGTATTAGCCTTCAAACGTGATGGCTTCGGTTAACGGGATCTATACATAATAGCCTACACGGTTATATATTGCAACTTTGTTTCCTATTTCTTCTAGATTCTTCTTTTTGTCTCCCATATTCACATCTTAAGACACTGGGTTCTAGCCCGGAACTGTTTTACATCTACATCAGGCTAGTACTTAGGCAATGCGGCATTTGCTCATGGATAAAAACCATTGCCAATTGGTGGAAATCGAACCCAAGACCTCAAGCTATTACCGTAGGTCTCAAGGTAAGACCTGGGCCGTGGCCGATTTACTTTTTCGTTATGAGGTCCCCAGAGGCCAAAAATACCATTCGTTTGCATTCAAATATATATATATCCGTTAGCGCGATAACTCGAGCAAAATAATCCGATTTCGATTAAATTTGGTGCAAAAGTATAAACCTACGTTTTTTAGGACGAGTTCACGATCCAGCATGATAGGACTATGGGAACAGGGGTTTAAAGGGATAAAAATGGTTGTTTTTTCCATTTCTGAACCTAAAAATATATAATTTTGCAAACCATTTTGTAGAGTTTAATAACAAATAATTTAGTATGTAGAAACATTGCTGTATGCCTGACGGTTACGGAGAAATTTCCTAAAATGTTAATGAGTAAATTAGTTCCAGAAATGCACGACAACAATGTTTAAGTAAAAACCAACATTCGAGAATTTCATTCAACATGCGATGTTATATAAAAGAATCACTCACCCAGAGAAGGTGACCAGGAGCTTCCTCAAATCATACGATAATGTCAGGAAACACCTGAAAAATTAGAAATAATTAACGCAATACAGTATGTCACAAGCATGCAATAACGATGTGAACGGAACGATTGAATTTTCTTTCATCGATAAGAGCATCGTACAAAAAAAGTTGACGAACATTTTACCAGGATAATTAGGCTAATTAATTATTAATTATAAATGAATTTAATATTAGCAGTGTCCCTAGACAAGAGCATGAGAGGAAAACTAGATTCACATAATTACGATACAAAACAAAGATCTATTCTATACTTATTTAATACGCAAGCAGGATTTTTGTGAGAATTACTCCTCCGAAACTACTGAACCGATTGACATGTTTTTGGTCTCATTGGAAAGAGCGTAACGTGAAGTTGTGCAGGAAACGTTCTTTTTAGGGAAATAATTAGAGAGTGAGGCCCTGGGGCCCTTTAATGTTTCGTATTTCTCCATAAGATTAACATGGGAAACAAAAATTGTAATGAAACTCCAGCTGTTGTCAGAAATTAAAAGTGAGAAGGAGAACAATCAGTTTGCTAATTTAACAGTTTGCTACAAACATTTACTGACTTGGTTGAAATGAAATGTTTATTATTTGAATTTGGGTAAATATTACAATGGAAAAAAGTGAGAGAGCCTGTATAAATTGATATCTTAAAAAGAAAACTGAATTAACACTGTGCTGCATTTCTTATTAATCATTGAAACAGTCCATTTGCAAACTATGGAAACATAGGAAAGTCATAGAACACCACCAAGGAGAAGAAATAGAAATATTTGAATTTATAATGTTATTATGGGTAACCTAATGCGGCTATGAGTAAGGCTATTTGTAGAAAACACTAAAAAACAAAATCAGCTTTAAAAAAAAAATGATAAGATATTTACAAGAAATTGTGATTATATCGATCTGTTATGTGCCTACATCATGAGTATTTCCAAAATCTTTGAGTTGAATCTTTTAAAGTCATCAGAAATTATGTTTGTTATTGGTTTTAAAATAACGCTTTTAATACTTAGCAATTGCTCGAATTAGAGCAACAGGGACACTAGTACTTATTTAATACGCAAGCAGGTTTTTTGTGACAATTACTCCTCCGAAACTACTGAACCGATTGACTTCTTCACATATGATTAACATGGGAAACACACATTGTTATGAAACTCCAGCTGTTGTCGGAAATTAAAAGAGAGAAAAGGAAAATATGTGAATTGTAAACAGTCAATAAGTTTGCTAATTTAACAGTTTGCTACAAACATTTACTGACTTGGTTGAAATGAAATATTTAGAGCCGATTTGCAAACTATGGAAACATAAAATAGTTATTTGTGCAACTAGTGAGAAAAGTGAGCAATTGACTCACTCGAGAGAAATCCTTACTCACGAGCCGTAGGCGAGTGAGGAATGGTTTCTCGAGTGAGGCAATTGTACTTTGAACTCGAGTTGCACATTATACTTTTCCTACAGTTACCATAAAACAAATAAATTTGTGAAGAAACATAACCTATTTTTACACAGAAGTGAACTTTTAATATAAGATTTAATGTGAAGTGACAATTACAACAGTACAACAGCTGACCAGCTGATTTACAGCCAGTGCTGCCAACGTATTTCGCGCGCATACGACGTTGCCTGCATGTTACGCGCTCACTATTTCGTGCCTTCACGTTGCAAATCTGGAGTGAGACAAAGTAATTAGTGTGAGACAATGTTAACATTGTCTCACTGATGAGCGAATTGGCCACTTTGCTTTCTCAAATCAGTGAGAGAACATGTACATTGTTAGGTAACTGTAGGAAAAAGTCATAGAACACCACCAAGGAGAAGAAATATAAATACTGTTGTTTTTTTTTTTTTTTAGAATTTATAATCGTTAATATGGACAACCTAATGCGGCTATGAGTAAGGCTATTTTTAGAAAACACTAAAAAACAAGATCAGCTTTTGAAAAATAATAAGATATTTACAAGAAATGTTGATTATATCGATCTGCTATGTACATCTGGAGTATTTTCATAATCTTTGAGTCAAATGTTTTAAAGTCACCAGAAATTATGACTGTTATTCGTTTTCAAATAACGTCTAGGTATTACAGCAATTGCGCGAATTCGAGCAAGAGGGACACTAGTTTAAGATAAAAGTACATACAGGTAATCATTGCAGCATCATCCAGCCCTTAGGGTAGCATCCGCCTAAAAGACAGTGCCCGAACCTAGAACCGTCTTGGTTGTCGCTCGAATCATATTCGTAATGCAATGTCTTTATTCAACTTAGTAGTAAACCGTCAAGATTTGAATGAAAAGTTGAAACTCTCATTTATGTTTTTTTATAAATCGCGCCAAACAACACAATTCTAAAGCAATTAAAATTATTCAAAGCATTCTTATGTTTTATGTAAAAATAGCTGGAAACGAACTCTCGAATTGTTGAAAGAATGGGGTTCAAGTGTAAAGCGTCGTGTGCTCATGTTAGCATACTCTGCATAGTTTATAAACCTGTACTGACCAGTGACCACTAGGTAGGGTCCCTCAGGTGTTGAGGTCACCAAGCCCGAGCTACAATCTCCATGGGACCAACAGATTGCTACTCTACGATTAATGGTAGCTTAATCAAACCATTATACATAGCGGAGATTATTTTTGATACCAGATATGTTACCTGTATGTATTTATCCCTAGTTGTGGATTAGTAAAACTATTTACTTTCAGAAACGAACAAAAGTTTCTAGATGACGTTGGAAAATTAAGCTTTCCAGTCATGCGAATGACTAAGCAACTTTTTTTTGTTGGAACAAATCTTCCAAAAAAAATCCAAGTCGATGATTTTGAATGCTATATTCAGGATTTACAAGGTAGTGTGAGAGTGACTGGAATCAAATTCATAGTTCTCAGGTTTTGAGGAATTAAAATAGAATTTATACCTACATGAGTGTTTCATCCAAGTCAATTGGTTGTGACCAAACGAATGGTTTCGTAAGCATATCCCGATTAAGATTATATTTTTTCTTGTGATATTTTAAAGGGTTTACGGCGTCTTTAACCTTGCATATAGATAGGTATATAAGATCCTGTGCGTGGATCGGTGAGGACCGGAACGGTACAAGAGAGAACTGTTCCGAAAAAGTGGCGAGCACCAGCGCGAACCAACGACACAACTAAAGATTTGTAACCCGTCTTGCTTCAAGTTACCGTAAGTCTCCATAATGACAAATGTGTAAAGCAACAACTATTTCAATCAGTTGATAAACCAGCCTATTCCGATAAGATAAAGATTGTACTTAATGGTTAAATGGTGTGAACCTCTAAAACTGTTGCCCCCCAAAAAAATCTTAAAGTTTGACCACTATTTTAATTTTCCTTATGAAGACAGACAAATTTTATTTTTCGTTAGTATTCTATGTTCTTTTGTTACAAAGATATTAAACAGGTTAAACGCCATGTGGTGTTCCCATGCTATATTTTGCGATAACAATCTAAGATTGTATAGCAGCGAACCGAAAAAAAATACTTATCAAACATATTTATACCTAGCGTTGGTTGAGGTGTGAAACTCTTTCGTTTTAAGAACGTCTTTACAAACTGAAAATTCCCTTAGAAGGAAACCAGGTTGTATACCACGTTATAAGCTGGCATAATACGATGGATAAGAGTTACTCGTAGTGTATATTGATTTCAAAACTTGTCATAAATATATTGTAGATGATTTTGTTGTACACTGCTTCATATCCAGGCTTATTAGTGTTAGCCTGGATATGAAGGAGAGTAAAACCTTCATATTTCGAAAAAGGATTTTAAGCTCTACTAAGCAGCGGAGTTCAAATTGAAAAAATGAGAATCTGTCTATACTGCACGGAATATTGAGATAACCGTTCCTACAAAGGGGATTAGGGACGTGAATAGTAGAATATATGAAATACACGAAATCCCTGTGGACCACCTATCGTGGTCTACAGGAACCTAGGTGGCAGTAGGAAATCCGTGTCGATTTCCTTGGCACTACGTGACTTCTCTGTTAATTGAGGTTGAAACGCATAACCATGCTTGAGATTGAGGATCACTCGTGGTTATAGAACTGTATTCTTAAGTTGTACGCATTAGAAAAACGAGTATTTGTCAGACTTAGTTCAGAAGCATGGAGGTTATTGCATCAACTTGACGAGTTCTAAAAGCTCACACTTCAGACCGGCAGACAAGAACAGGAGCACTCCTGAGATAATGGGGACATCCTGTCAACAGCTTCTCATGAATAAGGGGAACCTTTGAGGACGACAAAAGTGACTTTATTGATCAACTTTGCCCTCCGATCCATATTCTATATTCGGCCATGTGGTTGGTATCAAAGAGTATAAATAAACCTAACAGGATTTCCACAACCTACCTACAACGTAGTACGTGTGTCCGAAAGAAAATTCCAACAAGTTTACATCTATCCAATTGAAGTAAGGCGCCTTCCTGTTTATCTTAGCTTCCACTTTGACTTGCCAGCAACTGTTTTAAATACTTGGTTCGCCAGTTAAAGAGAATAAATTTCAAAATACAAATTTGACACTATAATTTGTGATAAACTGTATATCATTACTGATTTCTGCAACGAAAAACATTTCTAGTCAAAGTAGGAAAGGTCATGTCCTCTAAACCTTTATTGGCGATTGAATTTATTTCCTGGTGATCACCACTTCAAACTAACATATCTATTGTTTTGAGGTTGGAAGATATAGTTTTGAGTAGGCTAAGAGTCGTTAGCGTGGGTTTTCAATGTAAAATATTTTAGTGGCCTTTTAATATTAGCAGTGGCTGTTATATATAATGGCTATCCTACACAATCCCAGGTATTCTCATCTTGCACCTTACAAAAGTTGCCTGATTCTTTGTTCAGAGCTCTAATATGATTTTCATTTCAAACCCATGATATTGAATTATGGCAAAATCGATAAAACCGTAATTGCTGGACCTACAGCCATAGAAAATACTGCAAACAATACGCTAAGAGTATATTTCAAGCCAAATAGATAGAATATG